CGTCGCCAAATCCTGGAGGCTCAGCACGAGCTTGGCGACGTGGTGGTGTTCGAGGAGCGCGCGCAGCCCGGCGCACCGCGCGTCCAACCGCTCGTCCCCCCCGGCGCTCGCCAAAGCCCGGAGCGCCGTGCAGGCCACGTCGGGCACCTCGTCGTTGACCAAGATGAGCAATAAGGGAAAAATGGCGCGGTCTAAAGCGCTCGTCTCGCCGCCGTCGTCGTCGCTGTCGTCGCTCTTCTCCGCCGCCGCGGGGGCCGGCGGCGGCGCCGCGCCGCCCAGGACGTCGGCGCAGAGCATGTCGAGGAACCCACCGACGGCGGCGGCCAGCGCCGCCCGCGCGTCGGCGTTCGGGTCCGACGCGAGGCGCGTCGCCGCGGGCGTCAAAAGCCCCAACGCGTCGCCCGACGACGCGGCGCCCCGGAGCGCCGCGCGCGCGACGGCCGGCAGGGCCCGCGCGGCGGCGCAGCGCACGCGCACGTCCGCGTCCTCCACCAACGAGTGGACCTCGTCGACCAGGATCGCCGACCGCTTCGGCCCGAAGGCGTCGCAGAGCGCGCCCGCGCGCCGCGCGGCCGCCGCGCGGACCTCGGGCGCGGCGTCCTCGGCGAGCGCCGTCGCCACGGGCATGAGCTTGCAGTGCAATAAATGCACCTCCTCGGCGCGGGACAGCGCCGAGCCCGCGCGCGACGCCTCTAACGTCGCGGGCAGCGCGGCCGCGAGCGCGAGGCACGCGTCGAGCGCGCCCCGGCGCACGCAGGGCAGCGCGTCGCGCGCGTGGCGCTCGCAGGCCCGCACGAGCCAGTTGGCCACGTGGCGCTTGAGGGGCGCCGCGCCGCCGCAGCAGCCCAGCGCGCGGCACGCGTGCGCGCGCGCGACGGCGTCGCCCGCGTCCCTCGCGAGCGTCGTCAGCGCGGCGCGCACGAGGGGCCGGAGCCGCTCGGGCAGGGCGCCGTGGGCCGCCGGCGCGACGGCGCAGCAGGCCGCGGCGGCGTTGACGGCGGCCGCGGCGCTCCGCGGCGGCGCGGCGCCCGCCTGCGCGGCCGCGCCGGGGTACGCGCGCGGCGCGGCGCGCTCGCCGCAGCCCGCGGCCGCGAGGCGCACGACGACCTTCAACACCGTCGCCGCCGCGGCCTTGGGCCGCGTGCGCGCGCCCCGCGCGAGCCGCGCGAGGAGCCGCGCGGCGCGGCGGGACGCGCACACGGC